GTATTGATATTTTCGGGTGGGTTTTCGTTAGTTTTAGAAATTACTATCAGTGGGTTGTGATTTAATTTAACTCAACGTATACAAAGTTCATTGCAGACAACTATACCCTTGCCTAAGTCAAAAAATTTTAGCACTTACCTTAAGGAATTAGACAACGAACTTCTGGTTGACATAAAAACATATCGATTTCTACAATTTGCTTTACATACAAAGCATGAATTAACCTACTGGGCCAAACAAGTTTAGAGTATCTAATGCAAGCTAATCCCTAAAGGCTGATCAAGTTTCCCAACTGTTATTAAATAGCAACTTGGGGTGTGCGATAGACTTACCTCCACGTGGTGCACCCTGGGCAACGTATACTCATACGTCAAAAAAGTCTATTAACCGGCAGTTGACTTCTCACTTCAAACTACCATGGCCCGACTGCTTGTCATATTCGACCCCTAACACAGTACTCATCTTACCTTTTTCTCTACCTTTGTGTCTGTCTGCCTCTTTTACATCTGTGAATCGCTCTTCTGATCCCCACCCCTCGACTTTCTGCTACTTTGATGAACCTTCCTTCTGTGAAGCCCGAAGTCAGCTAAATGGCTAATGATAGCTATCATAACGCCTGCCATTTGAAATAAATAAATTAATACCATCTTATAGTCTAGTTGGCAGTGTTGAGTACGGGACATTATCTCAGGGATTTTCCAAGCGTCTCGACTAATTCCACTGTTTCGTGACTTAATATGAGACTTATAGGGAAGGAAGTTTTGGCAAAAAAGGAGGGAGAGTTTTTTCTGCTTGGTATTCATTCCAAACATGCAGGTTTGCCCTGTATAAGGGCAAGATGTTTATTTATCACCCTGAAAATTATGTAGCTTTAAACCGTGGAAAACAAATTTAGGTGATTAGATAATTTCTGCGATTACTACTGAAGTTCAGTTACTGTAGAATATTTATACGAGTTTCCCGTGAGGGGACACAGTAGTTGTTCGAAAACATTCTACAAAGTTCTTATTGTCAGTTAAACTATGAGCGATTTGACCTAAATTACCACAATTCATGGACTTCTTTCATATTAATAAAATGAACGTGAATTGCTTAAGCTCTTAGTGAACTATTGTAGCAAACGGACATACTTTTATTATCCCATTTTGCTACCTACCGGACGTGGCTCTCCAATTTTTCCAGTTGAAAAACATATCATTTCGTTCTCATTCTGTCGACTGCGTAATAAGAAACGTCAAAACCAAAACAGACCTCAAATTCCACAGTGAATCGGTTCTTACATAACTGTATTATGCAATCCGATTTAGATGCTTTTATAAATCCCAATCCCTCCAACAACCACACAACTTTAATCCGCCCCAATATACATTCCAGAGGCATGGAGCTATTAATCGCATTCTTCCATCTAGCACACGCCTTATCGCCAATGACTATCGATGCGCCCACTGAAGACCTTTTCTTATTCACGGATATCAACTTCTCGGCTAATTATTCTCTATTGAAAGTCAGGAAATTCTTAGCGGAAACAATAATAGTCGCAATTCAAATGTTTTTTTTTTCGCTTAAAAGGTGGGCGATAGACTTACCTCCACGTGGTGCACCCTGGGCAATGTATACTCAAACGGCAAAAGTCTATTAAGCGTCAGTTGACTTCTCACTGCATGTCATATTTGACTACTTTCACAGTACTCATCTCACCTTTTTTCTACCTTTGTCTGTCTCTTTTACATTTTTGAAACACTCTTCTGTTCCCTCTCCCCTCTCGACTACTTCCCTTTGATGTTCCTTCCTCTCTGTGAAGCCTGAAGTCAGCTAATGGGTCAATGATAGCTATCAAAACGCCTGCCAATATCTTATTCACGGATATTGACTTCTCGGCTAATTATTCTCCATTGAAAGTCGGAAAATGCTTAGCAGTAACAATAATAGTCGCAATTCAACTGATATTTTCGCTTAAAGCACATTGGACAAATAAGCAAAACTCATAATCACCACCCCTCGTGAAGCAGGTTTATGCGTCGTTTTCTCCCCCACCCCCCTACGACCCGAAAAGAAATCCACCACGGCCGCAAACAACGAGTACCGAAACGCAGAGGTCAACAATCCAGTGAACTTTGCTTAAGCACATCAGCCAAGTTCGAATCGGCTTCCTATTACAGCTCATAAGTAAAAACATCGAATTAAAAACCCATTATTAGAAACGATTGATCATCTCGAAGAGAAAACACCATCTATACAAGGCGCTTTAGTGCATAAAAAGTGAAATGACACTCATAATTGTGATGGAGAGTCAATGCAAATAGGCGCAAAGATGAGCGCAAATAGCAAACGCCATATTCACACAAAAATACAAAGGAGGGAAGAGAATTCGTCGCAGAAATCCTCTGAATCACTATCCGAAAGGAGCTAATATACATAAATACAGAACTGGAAGTCCCGTTGACAATGGGGTGCACAAGACAGAGGAGAAAAATAGAGATGCAGTAAAAAAGTTTGCAAAAAAAGAATAGACAGGATGCAAACGTCAAAACACAAAAAATAACGAACAGAGGGGTTAGAGATATTGAAATTGGCGGTATGTAAAAACCGACAGGTTAGGTAGAGAAGGGCGGGAGGAAAATGATGACCTGATGATTTCGTGCTGCAATGAGCAGTATTGTGGCAAATGCGGTGTGTGTTCTGTTTCCTTTCATTCTGCTCAATACGCGCCCCATCCCCCACCAACCGGGAGGATAGATTTGTGGGGGGGGGGGAAGAGTAGGTAGATTGGTCACACAGCCGTAGAACACGTTATAATAAAGACGTTGGTTAAGCTACGCTGTTAAGATTAGACAGGTTCTACCTTGAGAAAGTTGACCGTGCGATCATTCCCAAACTGACCCAGACTGCTCTCAAGGTTCATAATTACCACGTCGCCATTAGCTGTTAGGTGGATTCGCCATTTTGAAGGGTCCAATGGTATACCCTTGTCATCAGTAAGCATGCGTATTAATCCTCTTTCAATTGCGGATACTCTATCTCTGAAAAAATAAAATTAAAGATTAGTATAGCGCGGAGAGGAAAGAAAGTGACCTCCAAGTCTACTGGAAGGCACCGTAGAAACTTCATAACACAGATTCTACAATTGCCATTTATATAATACGAACAGTAGTACGGTTGGTCATGCTGTAACGATGAATAATTATTCTGTTACAGCCGTCTTGGTAGAGGCGCATCTTGACCGCTACGCCGACAAAGCAATAAATAGTAATTCAAGGTAAAATGTTTTGCCCAATTACACGACACGAATTAAGTATTAAGAAGTTGCACATTCTTATCAATGTATAGCAAGTTAACGAAGAAAAACACATCATTAAGAGGTCTAAGGTGGGTAAGAATGACTCACCAATCAGTTATAAAATTTAACTCGAATCTGAAGAAAAACAAATTCATACAGAGTCAAAACTCTTGTATTTGAAAACATCAAACATACATGAAATGAGTTCATTCCTACAAGAGCAATGACTCAATTTCAAAAAATAAAATCAACCAATGATAAAAGCCGCACGGAGAGGTCTTTACAATTCTCTTACCCTAAAACTGCGTTTGAGTCATTAGGTCAAACTTCCACATCGTCTGAGAAATAGGAAAAAGCTGATGTAAAATCGTGACTAGAGCAATTCCATAACGACGCCAAGAAAATCCACGATTAGACTGAGTTTTCATCGCTGAAAAGCTCATGTCCAAATCAAGGCAATTAGAGCGAAGGTGTACCACCAACAAGGCCGCTATTCTTCAAGGATAACGATCAATAAGAAGTTACATTGTTCAACTTCAGGCTACTTTAAGGCTTATAAATGAAAAGAGAGATTGGGAAACACATATAGGAACATTGTTTTCAATGCTGAGATATGCGATCAAAGTCTCTTCAGGAGACCTTTCGAAAGAGCAATAGCATGTATTCTTCTGAACTCAGAAGCGGAAACCAAAGAATGAACTAAAATGGAAACTCAATTCGCTTAATACATGCTATATTCCATTAAATTTATGTATTCACTTCCACGAACAGGGTAGCGCACATTTTTATTAAAAAAATGCTAAAAATAATACATTTTGAAAGTCTAGATATGAATTAATTTCTACCTACTCAACAAAAGTCACGCCAGTCAAGTATAGGAACTGTGAACCTGAATCCCGTATTATTTTTATTAAAGATTTTTGCATTCATCTGACCAAATGATCCATCACTTATTGCTTCTGTACAACTATTTTCCGAACTTCAAAGCCTCCTGATTGCTTAGTGCGTGTCTGAAAATTCGAACACCGGAGAAAACTTAAGGCACGCGCATAAATACTTCTCCTTTACGACTTAGAGATTGATGCTGAAAAGAAAAGTTAGAGCGCAATTCTTAAAGCCTAAAACATATTTCTAATAAGTATATCTGATTTGAAAGCTATGATCTGTTGTCACCTGAATGACCCACTCAGTGCAAAACTATGAACTGATTTTTGCGCTCCATTGTGAGATAGATATTCAATATGGTAAACAATTGTAAACATGGGATGACCGTAGACACAAAGCTGTGGAACCTCTTCAAACGTCCATATTTCCTCGACCTCCAAGACACTTACTTCCTCTCAAGAAATACGTAACTTGGAGGCCTCCGATTGGTTAATCCTCCCCATCTAACAAGCCGTTTTGCTTCCCACTATCCTGCTTTGCAGTGAAGAACATAAAAGGTTAAAAGGAGATAATTAAAATAGACAACTTGTCAGAACACCTAAGCCACAACGACAACTCTTTCTACTTTATACGCATTCGATAAGAGTTATGAAAAATTAGTAGTAAAAAATAAATCAGACATAGGCACCTTTTCCATTGGCGAGTTTTGCGAGTGTTTATCATACGCCTGTTAAGATGAGTAGACCTCAAACGTAAGCGACCCAACTTGGTGGCAAGAGAATTTCGAGCCTGGGACTTCATGCGTCTACAACGATCCGCTGCGGCACGATTCGTGGCTCGTCGACGAGCATCAAGCATTGCAGAAATCTAATTTGAAAGAGGCAGAGACGAATGAAATATGCAAACTGGTAATCAGTGCATGTTGATAGTGTGCCAATAACTGCTGAGATAAGAACAGCTAAGAAACGTCAAAAATGACCAAATATTGATGTCAACTAGAAATCACTTGACTAAATATTCACATTATATTTAAAAATGTGAATCAGCCATAGATATTAACTTTTTAAGCCTAAGTAATGAGGGACCGACTGATTTTCTGAGACTTGCCACAGTGATAGCGTGAAGATGGAGTACTCTCAATGCACGATAAAGCGCTTTCGTCTTTCTACTAATTCACCAATCTCCAAAACAAATTAGGATAAAGTTTTGGTCGACTTCAAATCAAGAGATAAACACTATTATGATAACAGCTGAAAGTTGAGAACAATCTCCGAAGGTCACCAACGTACCCTCATAAACATGTCAAGTTAATAATCACGTGAGGAAAATTTAAAAGGTCACTAAGAGTTAGTTATCAAAGGCGCTCACTTATCTTGTTACTATAACTTTTTAATTCAAAACTGGTCATAGAATAGCTAAAGAACTTTAGATTACCTCTATATAAGGAAAACTTTCAAACTGTTCTTATTCGAAAGAATAATCCCATGATTTCAAGCAGCAAATATTGGACATTCCAATTCCAAGAAACAGAATCAAAGATATTAAGCAAAAGGTCTTCATGCTTCAATGAACAAGATCTCCGAAATGTGAAAGTAAAACGAACAACGGTTAGATACTCAAACAAACTCAAAAAGCTAAGCTTATGTGAAGCGGGCGTAGTTAAACTATATTTAGAACTATACAAAATAAGAAATGATATAAATGGAGATCAGTTAAAACCCCAAAATTGAATAACAATTCTAGAACATGGAATTTCAAACATGGCCAAACATTCGTACACATATATACAGAAAACAACCTGCTCAAACGAAAGACCAGGCTTAGATTTCATTTCCCGAAACAATTCATTAGAGCTGTAGGCGACTTCATCATAAGAGAATGGCACTCCAAGGCTTTTGAGAATATTAACATCACGAATATTTCGATCCGATGTTCGGGAAAGTCTTGGATAACTACCAGACGAAGTAGAAGGAGACGATTTTAGAGCAGAATAATATTTATATTCATCTTCATACTCATCCACCACTTCTTCCTGCTCTTCTTCATCTTCTTCCTCTTCATCGTCTTCTTCCTTGAGCGTCCCCTCCGAATCACTGTCTTCAAACAAGTCGGCCAAGCCTGTACCGTCTTCCTCACGAATGGCTCTATCCCAAACAGAAATGTCCCGTGAATTGTCGGAGGAGTGGCTATCGGACAATGAGGTGGAATCTTGGGACAGTACGCGAACACGTGGTTTGTCATATCTTGGCCAGACGTAACCCAGCTTTACAATTTTCGGTTGAGGCACAACTGAGGTACAACTTGATTGGGAACCTGGGTGGACGTTGGATAGAGATTTAAGAACATTTTGTGAAGGAGAATGAGGCGAGCGTGAAAGAGAAGTGGGATCAGAGATCGGTCCTGCATACATTCGATGAATACTATTATTATGTTTACATGAAAATCCATTATGATTCTATTTAATTAAAGAGAAATCTTTTAAGGTCGGAATGCCAACAAGAATGATGACATTAACAAGCTAACGTACACTTTGAGCAGAGGGCGAATCTAAGTAGAATAAACGTGATCCACCGACAATGTTACCGCCATTTGTGAGGGGCTTCGCAGACTTTTTAGAATATAAAATCACTGGATGGTCAAAGGTTTCAATGTTTTCGGATGATTCTGTGTCGAGATTTGTTACACGAGAATCATCCTCATGATGAGTTGACGATAGAAGAACATTATCTTGTTCCTGGTCAGCCGTTACAATGGAACGTGTTGGATTTTGATCAAGATCAAATCGCTCAGGTTTGATATATGAGCAATTTTTTGATGTTGTTGGAGTTGGTAATGCAGGACAGACACCAGACTAAATGCAAAATTAACAAGATTGAATATTTCACATACATCTCGATCATGATTCTGTCCATTAGATTGAAAAACTGACAAAGGTAGGTGATTCGCTTGAAACATTACATTCAGTTCATCTATTTGTGCTTCCTCAGGATCATCGAAACCGAATTTTTGAAGATAGATGAGATAGTCCTAGCAGAGCATTAGCTAATTAAAAAGTGCAAATTACTTCAATAAGAAGATCCTCATTTGACCGACAGCCTGCGCCTCTTCTAGTATAACAATCGGGATACTAAAATAATGATCAGATTCTAAGTGATAGATAATAGCCAACAATGGATTAATTAAAAACATCTAATTTCAGTGGGGTTATACGCAAAAACAAAAAAACTGCACAAAATATTCAAAACATCGAGAGTACTTACAAGTTCAGTTAAAAGAACGCGAACTTGAAAATCGCCCGGGGGAGCAATGGCCAATCTTTTTAATGGTAGACTATACAGGCAGAAAAGTTTAGCACAATAGAGGTGAAGAAGTGTCTTTATGGCATATGTCCCTGTTCGCAGAACAAAAGCAACAATTTCCTCGATTAATAAAATCGAAAGTAAGCACTTAATGATAGACAACGATTTAGTTTCCATTCAAATACACGGTTTTCATAACGGCGGACAAAGAAAATCCAGGAGACCTCCACAAATACGGTATCTGCTCAAATGTCGTGAATGGCCTTCAACTTTTCATCTCATTAAAATATTGTTATATTAAAAAATTGAGTTATCTTTTGATTTTCAAGTTTAAATACTTATGTCATGAATTAATCTATGAATTCAAAATGGAATGGCGAAATCGCAAGAACAGTATTTTAATTCAGGACGTCAATAGTAATATTGTAATTTCGATTTGTTTGAAAGGTTAACCTGGCCATATTTATATCATAAACGCTTTAGGCCAATAAACACGCAGATTTATTTCAATGAGTTACTTATGTTCTAATTTCCAGGGTATAATATAGATAACAGTTGCCATATCGATTATGTATTCAAAACTGAACAAAATTTAACGTATTCACCAGCCTTTGATTTAATCATAATTTTTTGTTGCCTATGGTCAAAATTGCTTTGTTTATCTTTCTGAAAAATAGTTCATTCGTTGTCTGGAAAAAACTTCTAAACCTATCTGAATATAAATTAGTAATCAAATGTGACTACCTCTCTGCGATCCTTCCCATATATGGTATCTATTTAAATTCATATGAACTATAGATGATGGAATGTTGTTGTCAATGGCTAAGTGTTATATAGATTATTTTTGAGTAACCATCTATCTATTCGTCAAGGTAACTACATTCGCATTTAACTCCTTTTTAGGTGAGTTTTTTCATAATTTTCAGTTATAGAAAGGATAATCTTAGAACCTCCATAAACTCATACTCTTTCTTTCTTGCCAAAAACAGGTATTGTCAGCCAAAGCCTGGATAATAGAAATGACGAAGTTGTTACAGGATCGCAACTTTTCTATTCATTGCCGAATTGGTTATTCTTGCGTATTTGTAGCATATGCTTACGCAAGGAAAACTGGTGTCAAACGAAGTCTCATTTAGTAAATTGGACTAGATTTAAGCATCATTATATGAGGATGATGTGTCAACCACCTCATTACTGGCCTAGAGGTATTGATTACTTACACCATTCTTTCTATACCCCCCTGGTTCGAATAGAGTTTGCACATTAAACGTCTCAATGATTTATTCGAATATGATGAATTTCTACCTCCAAAAGTATTGCAAACACAAACATGGTGAACGATTAGTTTGCTCTTTAGAGACAGCCTCATTGATGTGATACCAATGTTTAGTGAACTGAACTATCAGTTGTTTCTCGAGCGCAATTATCGATGAATAAATCCGCTTCTTCATGTACTCCCAAACGACAATAATGGTTTCAAAGACATCCTGAATCTCATCCTTAATGCAAAGGCCTGATTCAATACAAAACACTTGAAAAGGATCGTCTAAAAACATCAGAACTTTTCATCCGACTGAGAAGATGATAAAGTATTTGAAGTTTCATAAACTTTACCCCCCCCCCACCTTTTTCTTGACTTATATTTTCACTTCTGTGACTTACCAACGGCTCGTTCAATTAGTGGACTGTTTGCTCTCTTTAACATGACAAAAATCCAGTCCATGAAAATGTTTTTTTTCTCGACTTACAAAAGTGAATATCGATGAAGCCAAACTAACAACCCTTTAATAAATATATCAGAAGCGATGGATACTAGAATCTTTACTAGGATAAAATGGAACAAAAATTACATTTTTTTACGTATTTTCATGACTAGACGAAGGCCAAGAGTACATAGTAACTATCTTACACGAATACATTATAAATGATTTTCCTTATTTAAGATCAAAAGTGCTTAATGTTTTACCTTCGAGAAATTTCTGCAATGGGCAATTGTTTATCAACCTTGGATTTCTTCTTGTGTTCAGTAAAAGCGGCTGAATTACTTGAGAACCGGTGCAAGGAGGAGATTATATGAGACACAGGAAGTGACTCCTCGTATAGTTTGTGGGAATTTTCGTTTCCGGAAATGACAACAGGGGAATATGTAGTGATAAATCAGAGGGAGAATAGGATAGGACCAAACAATATTATTGGTGGACCAGAGAAAACATTAGAAGTTCCAGATAACAATTACCTGAAGGTCAGCTGAGTGAAATGGAGGAAGGGAATACAGTTAGAGGAATGTGAAACATATTTGAAAAATCTAAGGACTTTCTTTTAAAAGATAAAGAAATGGTTTCAATGAATGAAAGCGGGATACAGTGAGAGAACTTGTTGTCTTATGAGGAGTTTCTTGTTGAGAATTTTGCGCTCCTTCCAATGTCTGTTAAGGTATCGCGGAAGGGAGTATGATCTCCCAAAGAAAGATTAAAAAAGTACACGAGGAAGTCATAAGTTCACAAGGACTTTATCCTCATTACAATGATGCAATGGCTGGGATGTGTGATAGACTTACCTCTACGTGGTGCGCCCTGGTCAACGTATACTCATACGGCAAAAAGTCTATGAACCGGCAGTTGACTCCTGATTTCAAATTGCCATGACACCACTGTATGTCATATCCCACCACTTCCACAGTACTCACCTTTTCTTTGTCTTTGTCTGTCTGTCTCTTACATTTTTGATTCACTCTGCTATCCCCCTCCCTCTTGAATTTTTCTCACTTTGATATTTCTCCCCTCTGCGAAGCCCGAAATCAGCTAAAGGACTAATGATAACTATCAAAACGTCTGCCATTTGAAATAAATAAATGATGTAATAGCTAAGTTAGAAAAAGAGTGACAAGTGAATGCGGCAGTGATGAAGCCAATGCACCTACCAAGCTGAGATTCCTATGAATGCCTCGGAGTGACCTTGGCCTTCTTATTCTATTTTCCACCCTCTTCTCAACGAAAAATAAAAATGAAGAAAGAAGATAATAGCGTATTTTATCTTATATGTTTAACCATAATATTACTAAGTAGAACCAGAGAAATGGATTTTGAACATTCTTAGCAGAAGTTGTGCCAACATTTGTCGATTCTTCCACAATTTTTAATTTTTCCTCAATGTGTCATCTTATTGGGTTTTAAGTAATTTCAAAAGGTATTAAAAAAGAACATAAAAATAAATTGCACACTAGGTTCTGGACTTGTAGTTTATCTCAATTATACTTCCCTCATATCTCAAGAATCACCTTGATATGTACTCATATACTCGCTCTCTATATAGCAATATTTAATGTTGATTATCCGCTTATCTTTAAATCATTTCGAAAATATGTTTATGCATCTCTAGCTCTTTCCAATGCAGCTCCAAATTGAAATAGGAATTATTGACACTTTAGGCAAATGAAATATATGTATTAATAACGATGTTGAATGTACTTGGTAACAGGGGAAACATAAATGTCGAATTTAAAACGGCAAAGTTTACTACGCCCTGTTCTAGTTATTATCTATAGAATGCCAAACTAGGCTTGAGTCCTAAGAGAGGATGCTATGAGATCGTCAGAACTGCTAAATAACATGGGGGGGGGGGGCGTGACTGAAGAACAGTCACGTGCACTTGTATTCTTTAATCACTCATCCAAGTGATTCAATCTGCGCAGCTCAGCTCATCTCCTCAAAGAAAATCCGACTCTGACCTCCACATGGCCATCATTTGCGTCATCTTAATAAAGGAGAGGCAGATGGTGGCTAGAGGGCGATGGAATATTTGCAATCTTAATTATGCCATTTTATAAGGATTTAAAAGTGATCGATTTCATAATTTTATAAGTGACTGGTATTACTTGCTCCACCATGAATGCAAAATACAGTTCTAATAAGGTTTTTAACTTTTGAGTTGGAGGAACAACTAATTAACCAGTGTTTTGAAAATCCATCTAGCATGCAAATAACAAGGAAGAAAATTTATCAAAAATACATTTCTTTAAGCGGATGAAAACTGCTAGTCTTTCTCTCTACTATATCATAGCGTTGAGAAAATTGTACCACTAAACTCTGTGGGGTAAAGCTCAAAACCATCCTTAGGATTATCTTTATTTCTTTTTCAAGAAACCCAGGAAGATTCCAACTTTTTTTTCTTAACATTTTCTGTTCGTCACCTAATTTCCTTGTCCCTATAGAACAGAAATTTTCTTTTAAGTTAACACGAATTTGATCTAAATTTACTACTTGCAGAAATATATATATATATATATATATATATATATATATATATATATATATATATATATATATATATATATATATATATATATATATATAACGGAATAAAGAGTTTACTAAGAAATATAGATTCAGGTAGTCGGAGAAGACTATTTAACACAATAGTGATATGTTTAGAGAAATTCATGCTACTTAAAAAACTCCTAAGTATCGAAATTAAAAAAATCGATTGGAACAGCAAATGAAGGGAATAAAAGTCAAATTACCAGAATGAAAAAATCAAAGGTCATAAAAATAATCAAAAACCAACGAGAGAAATATATAGAGAGTACAACACTAACATTGCTGAATCGAAGGATCTCATACGCGTTTGCACATTCTGGAACGTGTGGTGTGCTTCCAATCGTGTTAGGTAGGAATGAAGTCACGTGTGCTGTGATCTTTCAGTTAATCAATAACCAAAAATCATTGCATGGTCAGTGTACTCAAAATTGTATGTGGTGACCAAGTTCTATGAGAGAAATGTCAGTTGGCCAATAAACGCTTTCACGTCATATGCTCTCTCACTTGTTTGGTAATTGCGAGATTTTGCCATAGGGATTGGTAATGTCTAATCATGACCTTTTTTGCGTAGCATCCGCTACAATTCCAACGAAATGCGCTCAGCTCTTGCGAAAAAAATCGACACTGAATCCAGAAACCCCATTCATAAACAGAGTAATAATTTGCTTTGGAGGTATTATTATTATTATGAGAACAAAACATCCTAAATCCCATGGAAAGAGTCCGGTCAATACAAAGAAAGGCTAAATTATTTACCGAACGTGGGCAGACATTGTTCTACATGAAATTGGTGGCAGTATCTAACTAAAGCTGTGTGTTTAGAACGAAATGAGCAGAGTAGGTTACATGGGTATTAAATTTTTACAATGGAAAAAGTCGAGTAGAAAACCAAAACGGAATAACCACTGGAATATGCAGAATAAAAGAACAATACACAGATCTGCTTTCCTCAGGAACGGATATAAATAAGCGTGTTTCCTTGTGTCACGGTGATTTACACGACAAATAGGCCGTTAAATCAATAGAACGGTTTGATTGACAGTCAAATGGTAATAACGTGTGTGCATAAATGAGAATATAAGTTATGAATATACATATGGGAGGAGAAAGGGGGCCATCTTTTCGTTACCAATTTATTGGGGCAACATGATAGTAACCATAGCATATTGATTGCCGATTGGCCCTCCTCCCACTAGGAATGAGTACTCATTTCAATGTAAACCATGGTTGGGTGGTTAAATAATGCAGCTATTTTGATTAGCTGGTGAGGTAATAGGCACATCTTGTTTAACTTCGACACAACAAAGCCCACATATACGAATTATAGCCAGTAGATACGGAGATGCATGAAGGAATACAAAAGGGGGTTTGGGAATATGAACAGTCATCCGATAGAAAAAAACGAAAGTGAGGAATAACTCATTCAAGACAGAGAGCATTGAGGGGGAGTTAATTGATAAATTGGGCAATTTGAGTGGCATTATTGGGCTCCGCTAGCAACATGATTCCTCATCACCCGAGGACGATAATAATGGAAGGTGACGAAAAATGACATTGAAACAGCAACATCAGCACATGCAAATTGTCATAAGTGCCGGCAATCATGAAGTGGCAGTTCTTTGTAAAATCGAATTGATTGCCTCGCTGGGATGTACAGGTCTAAATCTAAAAGGAGATGTATTGGAGCAAGGTAAGCAGATTCATGTTAGTACTTTAGGGAATATTGATATAAGATTTATTAGCTCATTTATTCACTCAGCAACACGATTTCCTACCCGTGATTTTCACCGCTGAAAAATAAAAAAGAATAGAATTCATAACAAATTTACATTTCTTTTTTGCTGCTTCATAGAGCACTCATAATCTATATTATTTTTGTCAAAAAATATCTCTTCATTAAGATGAAAAGAACTATTCCTTTACCCAATCAAAGCCGGTGGCTTGGGCAAAGGTTTATGAAATTGAGAATTTCCACAAAGCCAATAGGTCAGTGCTTTTGATCCACCATCAAACTCAATAACTCCACCATATTCGAAGCTGAAACCACCGATATCATCCAACAGTTCCTTTAGGCTTTGGCTTATGTGAATCCTAAATGCTGAAATAAACGAAATTGAGAGGTGAGTAGAGGCGGTGTGTATTTAATTGATATGGAAGGGAGACAGACACTCACCCGCGCCCGATGATTCCATTTTCTGCGCACGACTTACGGTGTTTCCAAAAAGACAGTAGCGGGGCATAGCTAATCCAACTACACCGGCAACACAAGGACCTGAACAAAAGAATGTTTCAACATATTAATGTGTCTTTTCAAGGTTTTATTTTCTGAATTTTACAACTGTTTACTCTGTTATAAAAGCTTCCTATTTGATTGATGCACAGTAAACGAATTTCTGTTCTTATTTGAAATAGGAAGTGTTAAGTGAATACTTGACCCATTATACCGGGCGCGATTCAATCAATATAGTTATCGAATCCGTTTCGTTAATACCCTATCTTTGTCCAAACTCATCGTTGTCACGCAATATCACCATGTCTAGCAGCCACCGGTAGATGGGCTATAACTCAACGAACTCTTTCGTGTTCGTTCAAGTTGGATTGACACTAATTGGCTTTCTGATTAACCGATAATTTGACACAACATTTTTTTCCAGTCATGAGTGTGGAAGTATGTTACTCGAATAACACTGTGTTTGAAGAATAGACCTAGTTCACGAAATTTTTTGAAACCTATCCAAAAATTGACAATATTTGAACATAGCTTCTCTTTTTATCCTTGAATACTATTTCCAAATGTCAAGAATTTGGCAAATCTTATTGCCTATATCCATATTATGGTTAATTTCCTTTAAAGCAAGACTTATTTCTTTTTCAGCTTTTTATTTGCTTAAAGCTCTCCCACTGTTTATTAGTTCTATCAATCTGAAAATTGATCTAATTTACACAAGGTGTAACAAACCGTGAAATCACGGTTTCCCGTCCTAACTGCTAGAGTAGGATGGCTTTACAGTTTATGGAAACTTACGTTCCAGAATGCAAATATAAACTCGAAGCAGTCAAACTATTGTTCTTCAAGGCCACGAATTTTTCGAGATAAACAGTTCGTTTCCCTGAGGTAGCCTCGAAATCCCCGTGATTCGTATGCAAATGCGTACATACGTAACAGAAGACAGATTGTCACTTAATTCCACGGTGGATCGCCCTTCAATCATCAATCAATAGAGTGAGACTTATTTCTATTAATAGATTTTACTAAATTATCTTAAATTGTCATACTAGTGGAACCCTTCAAATACACCACGAGTTAATTAATTGAGGTTGTAATGAAACATATTTAAATGATCATTATATTGGTGTTATATTTGGTTTTATGAAGTATCCTCTCATTATATATTTCAGTACGTATGCACCTAATGGAAGTGCTCAATGTGTCAGAAATGGTTTAAACATGTTTTACTTTCTCGTTGAAGTTAAAAAGAAGTTCTAAAGTTGAAAAGACTTAATTTACCACTGTGCAAACCTATGCGAATTTGTAGGGGAATTTCAGGCAGATGCTTGATTTTGAAAGTTCCACAACAGCTAAGAAGATCCAGTGCCATAAAGGCGATTTCATTGGCATGCTGATGGCCATTTCGAATGGGCAATCCCGAGGCGACCATATATGCATCGCCAATAGTCTCCACTTTGTACACATCATAATTGGCAATAACTCGATCGAACAACGTGTAGAGGTCATTGAGAAGCCCAATCACTTGCAAAGGTGTGGATATTGCTGAAATAGTCGTGAAACCAACAATATCACTAAAGTAAATGGAAACTTCGTCAAACGTCTCTGGAGCTACTTTGATTCCTACGAGTAGAGCTGTTGACACGGCCCTAAAATTAGAGAAAATTGGAAATAGGAAAGCAGCCGCTTAGAATCTATTTCCACGCCCAGCTATAGCTCTGCTGGTCTAAAACCGATTTTTTATGGCATAAGGTGGAGGTGAAGGCGGTGTTTTAAGATATTGTTTTTTCAGTGACTAAGAGGTGTGGTTGTACTGATAAATTCTTTTACATTTATTTATTAAAAGAAAATTTTGCTCTCTTGAAATAACTATAACGGTAATATATTGGGTTGCAACTAAGTCATTGCCGTTTTTGTTGACAGATTCACTCT